AATTAAAATTATAATTAATCAAAAATTTAAATTTATAAAACTTAATTAATTTTAATCAAGTCACTTTGGATTGACTTGACTCAATTCTAATCCAATTCAGTTGGGTCTAGATAATTTTAGTTTATGTTATATTGAATTTTGAATTAATACTTTAGACCCATGATCCTACCATAATGGGTGAGTTGAGTCAAATTTTTTAATTAGTTCCCATTTTACCTACTGTAATAATAATACTTAATATAACTTTAATTATATTAAATTTATTACCAGTTATTTTTTAATTGCACTTCAATTACAATATAGTAATCTTACTTCTATATCTACGTCGTATTAAAGTTGAAAACAACATATCAAAATACATAATCTAACTTTTACTTTAATTGTATAATATGTTAATTATAGGTACACATTATATTATAATCATTGTGAACTCTGCAAATTGATTCTTATTTACTCAATTATTCTTAGATAAACGTATTTGTTAATAATAATTAATATATAAATAATTCTGGATAAATATTTTTCTTAATAATAATTACTAAAATATAAAAAATTATGAATAACTACAAATTGCAATGAACAATTGATGCATTTTAATTTGATAATGAATATATCAATTTAAAAGACCAATTTGAAAAGTATAAAATAAGTTTTAAACAAACCATCAAAGTGTAAATTGAAAATAAAAACACCTATAAGGAATCTAAAAATAAAGAAAGAACATATGTAAGAAACCTAAAAATATTTTGATATTCTCATTAGTACAAGTCTAAACTATATAACAAGGGAGTGATTAAAAAAGAATAATATGGTGGGAGGATAAGGGGAGAAAGAATAATAATAAACAAATGATTAATATATAAATAAAGAAATGAGTTATCAATCGGACATGCTATATTGGAAAAACAATGGTTTTGGTAAGTTCTCTACAAGTAGTATTTATAAGCAAATATTTAATATAAACTTTATTCTTATGATAAGTTGCTGGAATAAAGTATGGAAAATCAAAGTACTTCCCAAAGCATGTTTTTTTAATTTTTTTTGGTTATGACTAATGCTACATGAAAGAGTGTTGACAAACAAGGCCATGGTAGTTTGAGGACTTACTTAATGTAGCATTTATCCTAACTATGGATGGGAATCATAAGACATTTTAAACCCTTTTCATGATTGCCAAGCATCAACAACAATTTGGAGGTATTGGATTACAGACATAGTATGGATTGAATGGCAAACCATAACTTGCAAGAAGTGGATTGAGTATAATATCTCAAGGACAAGGGAAAAGGTAGAGAATGGACTAAAATGGGATACTGCTTTTGCTATTATCTATTGGTTTTTATGGTTGGGTCGTAACAAAGCTTCATTTAATGAAGACATTCACTGGAGTTCAACTAAGAGACCACTATGTCCAATTTATCATTTATCTACACACAAAAACTATAACTAAAACTCCAAAAAAAGTAGCTATAGCTCTTTTAAATACTATAGTTCCGTATTAGATAACGTAGTTAATGTATTATATAACTAAAAATAACTAGTTACGTTTACAATAATATTGTTACAGTTTTTAAATTCATAAGTAAAAGTCTTAAAAAGCCTATATCTACATTTAAAAAATCGTAGGTAAATAAAAGTACCTACGCTTATCAAGTGTAGGTAAAAACCAATGACAACAATAGAATAGTGGTTTTGATATCATCATTTAACATTAATATTTATTAGTGTTAAATATATTATTTAACACTATTATAAGTTGTAATAAAAAATTTTACATTGTAACAACCTTATTATATGTAAAATGAATATTTTATAACAATATTTATCGTTACTAAATATATTATTGAAAAACCACATAACTTGATGCAAAATAGTGCATCTTACAATAACCTTATTCGTGTTCAAAACTAATATATTTTAATTGTATTTATTATTACCAAATATATGATAAAATAACATCATAAGTTCTAACAAAAATAATTATCTAGTAACAATTTTCAATCATTTAATAAACTAAAATTTATTAGTAATAATAGTCATTGATAAAAGTGATATATAATAACGATTTCAATTATTTTAATTACTTATTTAACTCCTTTATTAATCCATTTTAAAAATATAATATCCCAACAATAAATTATTACTTAAAATTAAATTTTATAATAACATATTATATTATAAAATATGTTGCTTGGTAACAATACTAGTTCTTATTAAAAATAAAGTTTTCCAACGATAATTAGTCATGCAAAGAAAGTTTGCCAATGGAAAAATAGATCGTTGCAAAAAATTAATTAAGTAATCACTTTAATTGTTCATAAATGTGTATTTTTACATAATTTAAATCACTATTAAAAATGGTATTTCTTTACAATGAAAGTTATTTTATAAAAATAACACTCAAACCACATTCTACTTGCCATAAAATGATTCTAGCAATGATATGTAAGATTGAGCAAAATCTTTTTTCATAATAATAATATGATTATTTTAAATAAAAGTATTATTTTACAAGATAAGATGTTATAAAAGTACTTTATGGTAATAAAATTAATCGCTGCAAAATAAGGAATTTATAATAGTGTGTATTGTTTAATAAATAAAAATTGGTAACAAGAAAACTAATTATAATAAATAAATTTTACAGTCATTCTTTTCCCTTTTCAAAATTGTGTTTTGTAAATAAATTATATGTTACAAACAAATATATACAAAACTATTTTTGATGATGACAAAAGGGGTTTCCTAATTTTAAAAGTTATTTTTATAAAATTGTGTTTAACAATGAAATACATTATTGTAGTATAATAGTTAGGACCTGAATGGGTGCACACCTGGATCCAACACTCGGGTGTGCACCCCTACATAAAAAAAAAAAAAGAAAATTGGACCGGGTGGTGACGGGTTTTTTTTTTTTACAATGGGGAGTGTGCACACCCGGGTGTGCATACATCATTTTCCATAATAGTTATAACAAAAATTTATAGTTTTGTAAATTCATATTTACTGATACTTTAAATAATTACAATATTAAGATATAAAAATATCAATATTTATTCTACAATAATCAATGTTTTGGACTAATAAAAAAATTTTAAAAATATAGTAAATTCATATTAATAACAAGAATATTTAAATTAAAAAAATATAATTATCAAATAAAAACATATCATAAAAAATAAAAATTAATTAAATTAAACATAAAAATAAAATGTTTAAATGAATCTCATAGAAAGATAATT